GTAGACTGGGGAGTGAAGGTCTGGGGCTTATGGAGGTCTGGGGCTTTGTGGTAGGGAATGAAGCATTGGGGTAGTGGGAACCAGGAGAGTCAGTTGTAGGAATGGGGTGTTACTGGAGAGAGCTGTCTTGTAAGGCTACATCTACACTGGCATGATTTTCCAGAAATGCTTTTAACGGAAAAGTTTTCCGTTAAAAGCATTTTCGGAAAAGCGCGTCTAGATTGGCAGGACGCTTTTCTGGAAAAGCACTTTTTGCGGAAAACCGTCCGTGGCCAATCTAGACACGCTTTTCCGCAAAAAAGCCCTGATCGCCTTTTTCGCAGTCGGGGCACCCCGATCGCCATTTTCGCAATCGGGGCTTTTTTGCGCAAAACAGTACCGTGCTGTCTACACTGGCCCTTTTTCGCAAAAATCTTTCGGAAAAAGACTTTTGCCCAAAAGGGAGCAGCATAGTTTTTCCGGAAAAGCACTGATGGTTTTACATGAGATTGTCAGTGCTTTTCCGGAAATTCAAGCGACCAGTGTAGACAGCTGGCAAGTTTTTCCGGAAAAGCTGCTGATTTTCCGGAAAAACTTGCCAGTCTAGACACAGCCTAAGTGTGTAGTAAGAGAGTGTGAGGGTGGTTGTGAGAAGGATCTACAATGGGTATAGGTCTGGGGTTCCATAGGATACCTTATAGGATGGGAATTGTCAGTGCTTTTCCGGAAATTCAAGCGACCAGTGTAGACAGCTGGCAAGTTTTTCCGGAAAAGCTGCTGATTTTCCGGAAAAACTTGCCAGTCTAGACACAGCCTAAGTGTGTAGTAAGAGAGTGTGAGGGTGGTTGTGAGAAGGATCTACAATGGGTATAGGTCTGGGGTTCCATAGGATACCTTATAGGATGGGATAGGTGCAGAGAAACTGGTTTAGGTGGAGCCAGGGCTCCCCTGCCATTACAGAACCAACCACTCATGACACACTAGGCATTCCACTGCTGCCTCAGGAAGCTATTTAAACAGAAGCTACTAAAGTTAAGCATTGCTAAGTCAGTAGGCCCAGAGAATTTGCATCCAAGAGTTTTAAAAGAGCCGTCTGATGACCGTGCTGGACTGTTAATGTTGACTTTCCAAAAGACTATCACATTTGAGAAGTTCCCAAGACTGGAAGAAAGCTAAGGTTGTGCCAATTTTTAAAAAAAGTAAATGGGGAAACCTGAGTAATTGTAGACCTGTCAATTTGCCATCGATCCAGGGCAAGGTAATGGAGTGGCTTATACAGAATTCAATTATTAATGAATTAAGAGGGCAATATAATTCATACAAATTTACATAGGTTTATGGAAAACAGATCCTGTCAAATTAGCTTGACATTATTTCAATGAAGGTCATAGTGTTGATGGATTGTACTTAGCTGTCTGTGAGGCATTAGACTTGGTGCCACATAAGACATATATCAGGGATGATCTAGACAGTGCTTGTTGCTGCTATGAGGGCAGGAGACTGGACTTGATGTCTTCTTGAGGTCCCTTCCAGTTCTAGTCTTCTAAGATTCTATGACACTGTTGCAAAAAAAGCAAACATGATTCTGGGATGCATTAATGGGAGTGTTGTGAACAAGACACGAGAAGTCATTCTTCTGCTCTACTCTGCACTGATTAGGCCTCAGTTGGAGTATTGTGTCCAGTTCTGAGCACCCCATTTCAAGAAAGATGTGGAGAAATTGGAGAAGGTCCAGAGAAGAGCAACAAGAATGATTAAAGGTCTAGAGATCATGACCTATGAGGGAAGGCTGACAGAATTGGGCTTGTTTCGTTTAGAAAAGAGAAGACTGAGGCTATGTCTACACTTGCGCGATCTTGTGCCAAAGCTATGCAAATGAGGCTAAGCGTGGAATATCGTTGAGCCTCATTTGCATATCTAGTGAGCCGCCATTTTGCGGAAGAGGCTCTTGCGCAAGAAGGAGCTGTCTACACTGCCCCTTCTTGCGCAAGAAAAACCCTCTTGCACAATGCTGTTTTTCCTGAAAATAACCAGCGTAACAGCATTGCGCAAGAGGGTTTTTCTTGCGCAAGAAGTGGCAGTGTAGACAGTTCCTTCTTGTGCAAGCGACTCTTCTGCAA